CTTTATCACTGTGTATATAAGTGGATTAGGCCCTGTACAAATGAATTCTTTCCGACAGAGAAGTCTGATCATCAGAAGAGCAGGAGAAAAGCTAGGGGACTGGCACTCAGTCACATCTGGAGGTGAGAGCCAGCCTCTGCTGCCTGCCTCTTGGAGACTGATGTGTAGGTACAGGTCCAGCTGAGCTAAGTTACAACCCCTTCCTGGGCCTTCTGACTCTAATAATCACCTTAAGGGAAAACTTGTAGACAGGCATACAGTAATGGGAAGTAAATATTTTCATGCCATGTAGCAAGAAAAATGAGGACTACGAATGCTTTTCTGCTTTAGGAATTTGAATCTGAAGAAACCTCTGCATTTCATGCTGAGTATTAATTGCTACCCGATTTGCTTTAGACTTTAATAGTAGCTGTGTGGTTTGTACTGAGCCTTAAATAATTACTTTTATCTTGCAATAAAAGACTTTTGGTGCTGAATGATAGTGTTTAGGTTTGCCCACCTCTTGGGCAATTTTTGAGGCTATTAATCTAGCAATAATTAGGAAGTACAGTTGTTTTTTTTTTTTTGCTAGTTGAATAGTGTTTCTTTGAGCACAATGTAAATTAAAAAAATAGAGGAGAAGTTCCTTTAGGATCTAAAATGAATATAGTTTGTAACAAAGATTGCTGTAAGTACTACTATTGGGAATCCTTCTTGAAATTGTGTTTTTATTACTAGAAGAGAAGTTAGCAATGTCACCTGAAGAATGTGAGTGGATGTAAGTTTTTAGATTAAAGCAAAATTTATTAACTGCTGAGGAAAGATATTACTGTTTCTTAATGTGACATTCCCTAGGTATAATAATCTGAGATGTGGGGGAAGGAGCTTATCACTCATGATCTGCTCTAATACATAAGTACACATAGAAATACAGTATACTGTGAGCCCTGACATTACTTGCCTGTCTTTATAACTCTTTTCTTAAACCGTATTTTTTAGAATGGAAACAGGTGACAGAAAGCAGGAGTATGGGTGCAAGTACGAATGTGTGCCCTTGTGTGTAAAGTGATGCTGATTTATCAGTTATTGTGATCTGAAATGGATATCAAATTAGGTTACTTCTTTTCAACAAAAATAGCAGAGTCTTTACACTTTGTTTCATGTAAATAAGACTTCCATAGCAAAGTTGTAGAATTTTTAAAAAGAAAACATTTTCTTTATTTGATGAGTTATTATACTTTTATACATTCTGACATACTGAGTCATGTTGTGGGTATACCCTAGTAACCTTGGTGAATCCCATACTGCAGACTCCGGAAGTGTGGGGATGCTAAGGGATGGTTTAGTGTATAGATTTAGCGTATGTGACTTAGTGTATAATGTATAAGTGTTTAGGGTCTGAGAAATCCTTGGAAAATGAGCATAGGCACAAGGCAGACAATTTATCCATTTCCCCTCATGTCTGCCTTTATTTCCTCTTCATCACCTACAGAACATAAAGTTGCGAATCTGTGGTGCAGAAGATTCTTAACTCCCTGTCCTGGTTGACTCATAGGGGCACTTCATGCCTACCTAATGCTAGATGATAATGCTGTCCATTTAACTATTAGACCTTTGGTTTTGCTGGACATTGGAACAAATCAAGTAGGTGACAGATCATTTTAACTTTTTTTTGGTACGGGAATTGAACTCAGGACCTTGCACTTCGAGGCAAGTGCTGTGCCACTGAGCTATCTCCCCGATCCAATAGGTCATTTTAGTAGTGTCTACCCCAAAGCTTGCTTAGGAAAAATTAAATGAGAATTTCATACATGTATTTAAAAATATTGTTACCTTGGGCAAGACTATTGATGTGACATTCACAGATTTACTTACAGGCATTTAGACAGGAGGACTGTAGTTAATTATATCCACACAATATTTATCAACACCATAGTTGATGGTAATAGGAAAAGAGAAACCTTGATGATGGTAGGAAAAGAGCATAAAGGTTAACAGTGACATAGTTTGTTGGCAGTTCAGGTCACACAAATTCCAGGTTGCGTATTGAGCTCTGCTCTCATATTATAGCATCTTACTCTGTGACGCCCCGTCATATCTCCCACTGTCGCACTGCTGTTCTCTGTGGCACAGTGGGTCTCACCACTGCCAGCAGTGGCTGTACTGGCCTCCCACATCAGCTTCTGACCATCAACATCTTCATTTAATACACGAGTAAGTAGCATACATGGCTTCCTTTCTCGCTCTGAGAAGTCACGGGGGCACCAAGTCCATACTGAGCCTGTCTTTGGCTCAAAGAGATTCTTTTTGACCTACGTTCCATTTTGTTAGGTCTGCTAAAGAAAAGATTGTGTGTTCCTGTAAATGAAATTTAAAGGGCTGTACCTAAGAAAGTAATTCAGTCTTGCCATATATATGTGTATATATATATATATATATATATATATATATATATATATATACTTTTTCTGGGGAGGAGAGGCTGGGTTTTTTTTACAGAATTAAGAAATAGAACAAACTTCATCTCATTTCTCCATGAGGAGGAGAAGTAGGCTCTGTTTTTCTAAGTTTTGTGACCATATCCCAGTGCAAAGTAAGGAACCAGGTTACCTAATGTGTGGTGCTCCTGGATGAGGCACTTTTCGTTCCAACTCTAGCAGGTGGTGTTGCTGCTAGGTTGGCCAGGCAGACACACTGCATTTCCTTAACCCAGCCAGCCTGGGACACGAGCTCAATCTAAAGTGGCCTAGGAGGGATTTGGTGAGGGGTCCTTGGAGGAAAGCAGGGGGATTCAGTGCAGAGAAATAAGAATGTGCTAGCAGTAGGTAAGTATAGGAGAGCTGAGATGGCTATTTTTTATAGCTTTGTAGCTCTGAGATGGCTATTATTAACTAGAGTTTAATTTTGTATGGGTGTGTTTGTATATAATGTATATGGTAGAGGCACAAGTCCAGATTTTTTGGAAGTAGCAAAAAAATGATGAAAACTGTGTCACTATGAGGTGTAGAGAGTATGCTAATATTTTACAATGACCCAGAAATACCTCACAAGTTATAAGAAAGACTGCAGCATGCCTTTCCGTTTCCCCACTGGGGTGGTGCTGGGGTGGCAGTGAAAGAGAAAAGGTCTTGAATCCCCTCTCCTGGTGATAGGTATTTTGCAGTAGAAATACAGGTTTTTACAGGGTGGTTTGCCTCCCTGACCTGACTAGTCTCCAGTATAACACTGATCTATAAAAACCACAGTCTAAGCTTCAAAAACCTTTTAAAAGGTACATACACTTTTGCATACTAGAGGTTGCCTGGATGTCATGTCAGGCTTAAGTGGAGTTTCATATCTTCACTGAACAATGACCTTGGACATGGCAATTTATCTGACCGTTCCTGCATTTGAATTAAGAAATTTAGATCAGGCAATATAGTCGCATACATGCGTAGTGTAGTGGTTTGCTCTTTTTTCTGCATTCAGATAAATTGAGGAGATACTAGTTTAACATTTCTCCCGGGTTTTAGCAATGTATAGCTAATCAGGGACAGGTGGTCCCTGAGGGTCATTTCTTAAGCTCAGGTAGCTGGTGTCTCTCCATTCTGACTCACAGGGGGAAAACAGGGCCCTCAAAATCTCTTTCAGGGCATATGCGCTTGGGTAGAAGAGACAGATCCGTGCTCCACAGCTAATTGACTTGGTGGGAGATCCATTACGGGGAGCTTCCCACTTACCCACCTCATTTCCTGGGAGGCACATATCCCCACTGCTTGCTTTTAAAAATACTGACTCAAGAAAAGACTTGGTGGCAACTGTGAAGCAAAACAAGTAGCTCTGTTGCAAATAGCGTTTGCTGCAATGGATTACCCAGCAGGCCAGCGCATCACATGCATAGGCTGCTCCTGAAGATGTTTTAATGAAAACTTTTAAAGGAGTGGAGATTTTCTTTAAAAATGTTTGTGCTTGCTAGTTCAAAAGAGAAGCATAAAGTGGTCATTTTGGGAAGAATAAGAGTAATGCAGGATGCCTTTCTGCCTATTATGAGCTTTGGTGGTGTGTTTATTTTGAACTACTGATGGGGAAGGAGGACTCGATTGTGAAGGTTTTGGTTCTTAGGCCCTGAGTGTGGGGCAGGGGAAGGAGAGATCTGGGGACACCCAGTCTCCAGCGTTGCATGCTACCTCAGTGGCAGAGCATTGCACTCGCCAGTATGCAGTTCAGTGCATGAGCCCCTTGCTTGATGCCCCACATGAAGCCAGACCATGGGGAGGTTACAGACAACTTTTGGTGTTGCCTTGTAGTGTCTTGCTGGTTCTCTCTTTTCTCTTTTCAAACATAGGAACCACTTTTTAGGAGACTGGACACTGTGAGCAAAGTATTTTAACTTGCTTATTTTCAACTGTGCTAAATTGCTGCATTGCTTAACTAACCCAAACCTGTGTCCACGCTCCTTTGAGTGTACCGACTGCCTGTGCACTCCGTTTCTCAACTTTCTAGTTTGAAAAATGCTTGTTGCATAGAGGAGTAAGAGCTCACACACCCAAGGCGAAGAGAATTGAGGAGAGAAAGGCCTTTTGCCACACTGGCAAAGGCCAGTCCACTGGCACGGATCCCTGGGGATTGGAGGGAAGCAACTGCAAGACCTTCAGAATTCTTCTCTGCTCCTCCTGGTGGAGCCCCTGCATGGAAGGGGCCTCCTTGTAATAATTTTCACCTAGTGAATTAGTGATGCCATTTACTTCTGAAATAAGGCAAAAATGGGCTGCAGAGTTTGCTTGTGATTGAAAATGAGCAATGTGAAGTCTCTTTTGATCTTTACAAAACTCTGTAGTCTAGCGGAGAGGTGTGAAAACATTTGAAAGCAACAGCGTTTCTGTGACTCAAGTTATTTTGGAGGCTGCCGCTGTGTGAGCTGATTACTTTGCTCTGGAACTAGCATTATTGTCATTATCATCACCTTCCTCTCATCATCCTCTGATTAATATTGTGGATTTCTCTCCCCTTTGCTTGTGTCTTCTTTTGACGCACTCTGGAAGAAATGTCAAGAAGAGGAGATTTGATCCTACTCAGCAAGGCCCCATCTGAATCAACTGCACTGGACGAGCAGCACCTTGCACTGTTGGGTTCTGGGTATGATATACTCTTCGCAACATTGCCAGAACTATTCAGTCTTTAAACCAGAACACTGGGTAGTAATGAGTAAAGAGCTAAAGCTGGGGTAACAAGGATGGGGTAGAAGAAAACTGTCCCTTTTGGAAATTATTTCAAAGAACCCCTCCCACCACCTGTCAATACAAGGGAGGAGGGTACAAGATCATATTATAAAAAGAACTGTTCAGAATCTTTTTTTCTACCTAAAGGAGAAAGGAACAAAAAATTTAAGTGCAATAAGAGACCCATTAAAAATAGCAAATGATTTTTTTCCCCCTCAGCCTGCTGGCACTTATATCTTCAAAATGATTTGGCATGATTTTTTTTTCTTTCGTTACCAATGACAAACTCCAGTGGCATGAAGATCCAATTTTCGAAAGGGTAAAAACTGCATGGCATATATACAACAACAAGCTAGCAAGCCAATCCTCCGCAAAACCTACAGTGGAATTCCTCAAGGGAAGATGACAGATGAACATACAGAAGCTGCCTGGGCCTAGCGAAGGCAAGTCCCATCCCCAGCTCCTTCTTGTACCTTGGGCGCCCACTCCCAGTTCTGGACTGGCCCATGGCAGGACTCGGCGCGACCATGCTCTTGTTGATTCATTTACCCCATTATTTTTTTTTTTCCTGGACCAAGCATCTTTGGAAATGGGAGCTGGAATTTGAACAATGATGCTATTGTATAGTTCTTTTATAAATGTAAATATGGAAATAAGAGATTTTGACACATCATTTTCACTTGTCTGAACTGAAATCTTTTTCTTGTATAGATTTTCTGTAAAATTCATTTGTTGCTTGCTCCCCATCTTTTCTTTTGTTTCTTTCCTCTTGTTCTTTCTTTCCTTCTTTGTCTCTGTCCTCTCTTGTAACATGTCCAATGGTTGTTGGTCTAGTTTAAAAAAACAAATGTAGCCACAGATGCAGGGAGTTTGGGCACAAAAGAGGTGCAGTTTGAGGTTAGTATGTTTGAAACCAAAAATAAACAAAACGGGAACACAAACAACAAAGTAACCCATATCAAAAACAAAAAATTATGTAAATGAAAATATATGTATTCACAAATCTCTAAAATTTTCAATGTCATTATAAATGTGTATATAATGTAAGAAAGTAGACACCCTCTCAAATTAATCACAGAAGTGCCAAGCTCATGATTTTAGTTTTTGGTTGTGACAATTTTCCTTCCCTGTCTTTAATGTGAAAGAAGGATAAACTTAAAAGCCTTAAATAAAAAAAAATTTTTTTAAATGTTGAAAGCTTGGAGAAAAATTAAGCTTTCCATTTTATTCATATCTATTGTCAATATTTCATTCATGCTTCATTTGCCTGCCTCAAAATCTATATGGTAGAACCCCATTATAGAAGTGGTAATGGGGACAGAAGCAGCAATTCGCCTGCACGTCAACATTGTGAAAACAGCTGGAATTTGGAATGTGGTGTTTCCAGGAAACCTTGTTTGACCCACAGGGCTTCCTGGACCCTGGAGTGTTGTAATGGATTATAATGGGATTCCACTGTGGACAGATGCACATTCTATTCCCTCCAGGCAGATTTGCAGATGCAATCTTGGAGTTCCCAAGTCCCTCTGAGTTTCCTTCACTTTCACCAATTTCTTTGATTTCTGGTCAACATACCTTCCATTCAAATGTTAAGTGAACGCGTTAGTAAGGAAATCTGGTCCCGGCCTCCCCCGCCCCCGCTCCAGCTTTGTTTTCAATGTACAGACTTCTACAGAGTCACTTAGTGAGCATCCACCCAGAGACGAGTTTAACTAAAGGCCCCAGTGAGTGCCTCCCACTTCTCCAGTGTCTTTTTAGGAGCAAGACATGAAGTTATGCTATTCATGGTACAAATCAGTTGCTGGAAACAGCAAGATTCATGACAGCGCTTTTACAACTTTTTCTTTGACTTTGGAAAGAATGATGTTGTGAAACACTGCTTAAACAAGTGGTATTTTCCCCCCACCACCCCCGAATCTTTAACTATAGGATTGTCATGATCCTGGAGCAGAAACTTTAATTTCTGTAACCAGTCATAGACCATAACCCAACATCTTAATCCTATTGTTGCTTTCTGAGTAATAGGTGCTACACAGGTGTACAGTCTTTATCTAGAACTTGCTCTCTGTTTATATTGTAACAACAGGGCTATCTATAAGGTTTATTGGCCTTACTCTTGGTTTCGTAAGACACAGGTTGTATCCCTTTACTTAATAGTGATGGTTCTTTCAGCTTGGAGGAAAGTTGAAGGAAACTCAGATTACTTGGTATCTCTGCCTGTCCTTGCACTGCTGAGTGGGTCCTCTTTACTGAGAGATACCAAGCTGCTGCTAGCTGCACCACCCACATTTCATTGCTATTCCAGAGGCACCATATTGACTTAATAGACATAAAACCATGGTGGTTACAAAACAAATCTCAGTTATTAACTTTTGAGCATTTCACAAACAACATTGTAAATGTGCGATGTTATGTTTTAAATCAGACCACAGTGGTCCCCAAATATTATGTACATATGACAAATGTCAGTGTAACTTTTCATTATGCTGGCAGTTTCATAGGTAACCAAACCTATGCTCCAATGTTAAATTATTTGTCTGTATATGTAAAATACACAAGCTTTAAGCTCCGTGTATGTGAATATGAAAGGTAATGCAACCACATCTTAAACAACAGGTTATAATTATTTTTGTGGTATTAGATTACATAGTTTCAAACTCTTCGCTGTATTTTCTCTTGCCTATGACATTCATTTGCTAATTTTTGTGGTGTGGATACTCATTTTTATTAATTTGAGCTCAAAGCATAAACATATTACTGTTTAATGTTACTCAACAAGAGTATTAAGTGATGACCAAGTTCCCATTTCACCTGCTACACTTTTGCTATGATAATTAATGGCACCTGGATAGGAGACAGGCACTAATTTCATTGCTCACCTGGGACAGTGCATGAGCCCACTGGATTAGAGCAACTCCTGCTAGATAAATGAGCAGTATACATAGGTGCATGTTACAAAACAGAAGTCACATAGAGCTGTGGAGTTCTACCAAGTGATGTGTGTGTGTTTTTTGTTCTTTTACTATGCAAAGATGAGAAATGCACACACTTTTCAAAGACCTGATGTCTGAAGAACTTTACAGACAATACTTGAATTCTTTCTTTTGTCATCCCTTCATGTTTTATAGTCCTTGTTGCTTTCATTGTTACTTTTTATTTTTAAATGGTTTGTAATTTTTTAAGTGCACAACCTGAAGTTTTGTTTGAAGTTAATAAATTCATTTATATCTTGTTGGCTGCCTATGAATGGAGATTCAGTAGTCATTGTATGCATCTTTTAGTATGTATTAAAACTTTTGTTAATGTAGAATGTGTAGCTTTATGCTTTGATCATTTTTATTTCTTCAGTCCCTTTTCTGTGTTTTCTGGCATTGTTGATTAAATGGCCATGTGCCTGATATCATCAGAGTTTTAGCACCAGTCTCAATCAAAGGCTCACTGAAAATTTAAGCAGTCAATGAGCAAAATAAAATCTCTGGTTAATGATAAATATATTCCTGATTAGGAATCAGTTTTATTGGATTCATCACACATTCTTTGCTTCTAGTAAATGAGAAAGAAGAAAAGTAACTTAGGATCATATGATTATCACTTTTTTGAGTTATTTATACCTTAAAAATTTTAAGTTCCTCTTCTGAGTTAAAAGGATAGATACTGACTAATACTAGCCACGCTTTGCTTGCCATCACATTTACAAGTAAGCTATTAAAAACTAGAAGAAAATTTGACTATGCACATTACATTATCAGAATATTCACAAGAAGGTACTTCCTTAGATCTCCCGTGAAATTGATCATTGTTACATTCTTTCTTCTATGAATTTCTTCAAAATGTCACCCCACACCCCACTGCTATCCCCCGGTTTGGCCTTAAGCCCAACCTGTATGTCGTATAATATGAGTTGCCACAGTGACACACACAGATGCTAATTGATGACATCTTCCTTCCAGAAAAGTCTTGCAGGACTCTTCATTTCTGGTAGGATACATTCCAGACTTTGTAATGTGGCTTACGGTTCTGCCTGCCTTTATGACCTCACCCCTGCTGATTTTTCTAGCTTCACTGATTCTCATCCTCTCTCAGTTACTTTACTTAAAGTTCCCCTAAAAAAGCCTCCTGTACCCAAGTCTGAATAATCTTTAGGTCCATAATTTATTATCCATAATTCATTTGTTTCAGTGTCATTTCATATGGTAAAGGAAATACAGAAACATGTGCAAATAGCCTGAATAGTATATTCTACAGTGCATACTAGAGTGTCGTTTATATTTGACCTTGAGGTGTGACGTGCTTTTCTGCTGTGTTGTCCTTTCAGTCATTCTGTTTTGTTGAGGTTAACATTGAAATGAGTCTGCTCCATGCATCCTGGGTAACTGACTGAAAAAGTTGACCCAGAAACTCTCCAGACAGCAGAAGAGCTGCATTAGTGTTAAAAATTTGGTGTGAGTAATTGAGTAAATAATCTATGTGTTCAAGGTGGAATTCCTAAATTACTTTAAAATTTAAACTTTTTTTTTTTTTTTCGGTACCAGGGATAGAGCTCACGACCTTGCACTTGCCAGGCAGGTGCTTATGCCACTGAGCTATATCCCCAGCCCCTAACTTTAAAATTTAAAATAGGCGCCATTAAGGTCAATGTGCCAAAGTTAGGGACTTCTCAATAATTTATTTACTCAACAAATATTTATCAAACCTTCTAGAAATCGATGCTGGGGGCTCCTAGAAATTGAGGAGACAAAAGAAAATCCTTGGCACAAAATTGCTCACAGTTCAGCAGCAAGATTATACATATTTTTAAATAAAAATCTGAAGCCAAAGTCACAGGAAAACAAAGCTAACTGAGAACTGGGAGTAGAGAGGAAGAACTGATAGGCATCTAAGAGGGGGGTGCAGAAAGGCCTTCTCAAACAAGTGAGTTTTGAACTGTCTTGAAGGATGACAAGAGTTCTCCACTCTGATACAATAAACACATGCTCAAGGCACAAAGAAGCACCTCGCACAAAGCCCCAGCAGGAGGATCCAGACCTGGGGGTAAGTAGAGCTACATGTGAGATCTGTTCAGCCTGTTTCCTTCCAACTTCTCTGCTTCCCTTCCTTTTTCATCTGTCCTGCCTACCTTTCACCAACTGGATTGGTTAAGAATCCTACAGTAGTACTGTTCCAGGCACCCAGGACTCATGGATGAGCCCACAGTCTTATTAGCAATGCTCACAAACAGCATCTATCAGTGCTCTGATAGATGTAAGTATTAGGTATTTTCAGAAGAAGAGAGGAAATAAGGAGGTGGCATTTGAGCAGAAGGCTGTGCCCGTGCACTTGGACCAATACCAGGATCCCTTGTTGTGTTCAGCCAGGGCTCACTCATTCTGAGGGGAGGGAATTTATTTGTGAATGGCTTGGAAGTAGAGCCACCAGCAACTCACGTCCAGTTGCTTACTCCAAACAGCTAGGTGTCTTTTTTGGTGTCAAGATTGTGAGCTCTCTGAGCACCTTTTATTTTTAGATATTTTCCCACTATTGTACTTACCACGAATCACTCTCTCATGCTTGGGGCCATCAGTGACGACAAAGAGAATTTCATGACCTGGCTTACAAACATCTAATATTTTCTTAGCATAAAGATTCCTGGCTAATCTCATTCTGGAGTGAGAAGGTGGATAAGAAGAACAATAAACACTTCTAAAGCATCATTTAGTAAGTTCTTTCCTTAGTGAAGGGTGAAAATCATTTTTCAAGTGTAGGCACAATTCCAGTCCACCAAAGTGAGGGTTTGTTTATCATTATGCCTTGGAGGGAGGTTAGCATCCTCAGCCTTTGCAGAAACCTATCAGCAGGCCTGGCTCCTCTGACACAAGTTCTTGGTCACGTCTGACTTCTGGGGAGAGGAAATGACGTGGCCTCTCCTCACAAAGAAGCACTTGTCCTGCTGGGAGCTGCTGGTGCTCCTCTCCCAGTAGATTACACTTCTGCACACACAGGCCCTGGTGTCTCTGTAAAGGCCATCCATGTAACTTGGCAGAGTCCACCCTTCGGGGAACATTTATCTGACTCTGATTGGTCATTTTCAGGATTTCCTATGCTGAGAGTCATTGAGAGCCAAATTGGCCCACTAAATCAATCAGTCCTACAAGAAACAAGGCTAAACAAAACAAACTCTTCATCCTGAGTGATCAAGAGTTCTTCAGACCTCTTTGGAGCTGGAAATACCTTCCAGACTTCAGGAGGTAAATGAGCTTGCAACAGAGCAGGGCCTGGTCTCAGGATGAAGACAGAAAAAGTATCTTGGATTGTAAATGACAGCAGAGCAGCTAGCATTTTGTAGCAAGAGATGGAGCCTTGGAGAACCATTGTAACATGGGTAGAGATAGTAAATATCATGTGCAGCAGGAAACTGCTTTTTCTACCTACTTGAATTGCTGCAGTGTGAGGGTCACAAGACCCCAAGGTTTGTAGACAGTTCCAAAGGTGGACAGAGGGGCCGGCACATGGGACAGGAGAGGTGAACGTGCCGGGGCTGAGCCGAGAGCATGTACTGTCCTGAAGTGAGCAGCTTCTGCTCAGCTCCAGCCAGTTGTCGCTATATGGAAAAATTAGACCTTCAAAAGTGCATTTCATTTACTTTTCTACAGAAGCCAGAAATCTAGGTGTTTATGTAAAATTACTGTATTTTAAATGGCAAAGCCCATTATACTTTTAAAGTATTGTGTGGATCAAGATGGTGCAAATGGAACCTGAGCCTGCTGGCTCCGAGTATGTAACTTCTGCATAAAACAATAGGACATTTTCATGTGAAGACCCTGAAATCGTCTGAGAGCTCTAATGAGTACACATATAGGCATGGCCTTGCTTCCAGTCATGAAAACAGGATGCCGTGTGAAGAGATAGCAGGTCCCTTGAGCCTACGACTTGTAATGTTGACTTACAGTTGCTTTATGTGACTAAGGAGAAGCTACTGAAAGTCACAAGTATCAAGGAAAACCTGCCAGAAGATACTCACGAGGGGAGTGCTCTGTGTACCAGTTTATTCAGAGCTAATCATTTGTAAGAGATGATCTAACCCTGCGTTAGCAAAGAGGCTTTGTCTCTGTCTCCTTAAGGCTCTGTCTCAAAGCTCAGTAAGTCATCTTTGCAACTGACTAAATCCTGAACCGTCAACCATCGGTTTGACAGAGTGCTGTGGTTGATTGCGGATGTCTGCTACCTGGTAACTGGAAGTACCTGGCTATATCTGAATACATCTTACGACAGCCTTTCCAATTTGACTCTGACAGTCAGTTGGTAAAGGGATTACTCAATCACTGTGGCTAATTCAGCGATCCCCATGTGATTTTCTAGATACAGGGAAATAAGGAAAGGATACTTGAACAAAGAAGTGCAGAATCTGAAACACACAGCAGAAAGGAACAACTATTTTATTTTATTTTATTTTTTTAAAATTTTTATTTTTTTGGTTTTTCTCCGGTACCGGGAACCGAACTCACGACCTTGCGCTTGCCAGGCAGGCGCTTTGCCGCTGAGCTAAATCCCCAGCCCCAGGAACAACTATTTTAAATATTGTTTTATGATTATTTATGGAAGTTTACATGTAGAAAATTGGAAAACAATTAGAAAAAGAATTTTAAAGGACAAAATTTACATCAACTTGATAATCTCAATATTTTGTTAATCTCTTCAACCACTCTTTAATTTCTTGTTTTTTTCCAGCAATCACAGAAACAACCTACAAAGCTAGGTAGCCAGTGATTCTCTCAGGGGGTCTGTGGTGCCATCCCCTCCTCACTGTGTGTGTGTGTGTGTGTGTGTGTGTGTGTGTGTGTGTGTTCCATGTTTTCCTTTCAGAAAAGGATGGAGCAGCATCTTTGGCGTAAGGAAGTACTTTGGAGCCTCTTCTATTTGCACATTTAGAAAGCCTTCCTCTGCTTCCACAGCCCCATCAAATGAATCTGGGTACCATCTCAAGTGTTACCTTTATCATAACATCTTTCCTGAGTTGCCCATAATGTTCTAAATATGTACAGAGAATGCAGGAGCCCCAGCTAGTGGTGGAGCTAGGGTGAAGCCCTCGTTTGGTATTTTAGGTTCCAGAACTCAGGCTCTGTTCACATCACTTGATTGCCCTCTTTTACTTCCACTTGATAATTGGCAAAGTTTGCAGTTGGAGAGGCTTAGTACCTTCCTTGAGATCATCATTCTAGGATGGAGCAGGGCCAATTCTGATACCTTTTCTGGACCCAGGAGAACATGGAACAGCACAAATGACAAATAAATGAGCAGGAAGGTGGAAACAGGAGATCCTCAGAGAGAATATTTGGTGGGCTGACTCTGCCAGAACCATTAGTCCTTGCCAACCACCAGGAGAGGAAAAGAATGGAGGGTTTATGTTTTGTAAACCCTTCATCCTAT